TTAGCCTAATACTATCTCATTGTTTCTTTGTACTCCCCATCCATCTGTCTTAGTCATTGGTTGTCTCTAGTGTTATACTTAGTTTGGAAGCTCTTTGTGGCAAGGACCAACTTTTTGTTCTGTGTTTGTACATAACCTACCACAGCGGGGTCCTGGTCAATGAATAGGGCTCCTAGATGCTATGATAATACAAATAAGTTAAAAGTACATTTCAGAGGTTGGACATCATGTAGCCATTTTGGACAGGCCTATTTTATTCATGCTAATACATTGGACATATCATTATTTTGTGTTTATACTGTGGTAGTACACATCAGTCCCACTGTTCTAGGCACTGTATAAGTGCACATGAAGACGCAATTCATGCCTCAAAGAGCTTATGATAATTTTTCCTTTAACTCCAATTTAGGATTCATCCACATCCGTGCTCAGTCAAATCTTGAAGTGATTATTAACTTTAAATCGACTTCTGTGTAATGTAAGGAGAGGAGGGCCTTTCTCTGTAAGCTGCATCTCTGCTTCTACAAATATGTATTTTTAAAAAGTAGCTCTGGAATCAATTAACATATAAAAAGGTCTTGCAGGCTGCGGTGTAGGCAGTAAATGACAGTCCCTTATCTGGTGCAAATTAAGTACTTGTTATCAGATTACCAGCCACTACTAGTATAATCAAGAAGGGTACATGTAAAGCAGCAGCCAGTGAAGTATGGACTGAACCTTTTTTGGCTCTTGGCTCTTTTGAATGCTAAAGGGAAATTATCAAGGCTGGAAGGTCTAAAATTAGATTAGCTTTGATTGATTTCAGATAGGCACAATATACTGCTAGTCTGCTCTGCCTGCCAGCTCTTCTTGTGAAGGTTACCAGCTGGCAGACAAATGCACAAACAGCCAGCAGGAATCTTGTTTATTTATCTAGCATGTTTGGAGTGAATGGCACTTTCTGAATAAGACCCTTGGTCAGAGCTGGTTACAGTCTAATTTAGGCTAATAAGGAGAAATGGTATTAAGCTACAGAAAGGAGGGGAAACAGAAACCTGCTGTTTGGAGAGCACTAGTCACACACAACTTGGGTTATTTCATTTTGTGGTTTTGGGGGGTGGGTTTGTTGAATGGGCATTTCTGGTATAAATGGAGGATCCAGCATATGGGAGCAGATAGTGACAGCTGAGGTTGGTGAGGAAGAAAGGAAATGTCAGCAGGGGAATGAAAGAGGTTGGCCCAGGAGCTGGTGTGTGGCCTAGCTGAAAAGCTGGGATAACTTTTTAACACAACTCTCTCCTACATTTCTCAACAGCTGGAATCGTGTGTTTAAAAGTTAATTTTTAGGGAAGGTTAGATTTTTGGGTATATAAGGTCACTTTAACGAGCGAGTACAGCATATTGCAGGCCTGGATAATATTCCCTATGCAGACAGAGATGATTTGATTTAAAGTTCTAAATTTCCATACTAAATTGCAGCTCAAAGGAATTTTTGTGGTCAAGTTTATTCACGCTACCTCCATTCCTACTGGCAGGTGTAGCTACAATACAATATTTATTATAAAATCCATGTTTATTACAGTGAAGATTCACTTCGGTGACACAGATGAATTCTCATAAAAAGATGTTTTTAAAAGCCTTGCTTTTATTTTCTATACTAGAGCTGAACTATGGATCTGGCATAAAGTGTATAACTTAAACCAGATCTCAACAGTTTCAGAGTGTTTTTTTACTGCTATTTGATGTAGTGAAAACTTTAACCAGTTCCTGGGAGAGGAGCTCAGTGTGTCACTAGTACGCAATGATACGTAACCATCTCTAAGAACGGCAACTCCACACAATGCCAAAAGTGCAGCTAAATAAAAATGCCTGCGAAATCTGCATTTTTCTGTACAAATGAGAACACTGAGCCATATGGTCTTTTTAAAAGCAAGTTACAAAATTATGAAGCATAATCCAGAAGATAATTGAGCCGAATCAAACTCAAACCAAAACCTTGACCTCAATGAGAATTGATTTGAGCCTTAAGGGTACATCTACACTATGCAGTAAGTAGCCTGTGGGACTCAGGTTTGTAGACTCAGTGTTTCCAAGCCTACGCTTGAGCATCCACACTGCATTGTAAACCCATGCCTTCCAACTGTGTTGATGTGTCTATACTGCGCTACATTGACCTGAGTCAAGCTGTTTCTGGAGGCATATCTGCCAGGGTTCCAAGCACCCTTGTAAGATACAGCCACTCTAGGGCATGATTCTTAGTGGATTTTGGAAAAATTTGTCTGTCCACCTGTTACACCCAACCAAGCCCTTTTTGAACCTGCACAGTCCTACCAGCCAGAGTTGTTAACATGGATCCAAGCTTGGTGGAAGAACTTCTCCAGCTCACTCTCAGTGCCTATTTCAGAAATGAGAGTGTCTGTGACACTGGGGGACACTTCGGTGGCAGTATTTGACCTGCTGAAGGCACCTCTTCCCCCTCCCCCCCCAGCTCTGATGCTGCTCATGCCTGTTGCCATAGCTGCACATTCCCTTTATGTAAACCACTTCTGGAGCAGGGCTACAAACACAGACTGGTGAGATCACATTGTCATGAGGATGTAGATGACTAGCAATGGCTCTATAACCTTTTTGCATAAAGATGCAGATGTGTCTGGAGGTTTGCCCAGACCCTTCAATACCAGGACACAATGAGGAAGGCCATATTCAGCCACAAGTGGATTGCTGTAGCCATCTGGAAGTTAGCTACCCTAATCTGATATGGGTCTGTTGCTAACCAGTTTAGAGTTGGCAAGTCAACTGTGAGGGTTGTTGCGGGAGGTTTGTGAGGCAATTTGTGGTGTACCCAGAAGGGGTTGGCATTGCAAATATTCCTGAAATAAGTGCTGGCTTTGAGAGAAAAGGCTTTCTAAACTGGTCAGGGGCCACTGATGGGGCTCATGCGTCCAATAGTTCATTCTCTGCAAGGAGCACTAGACACAGATGGCAAGGGGTACATCATTATATAGCCCCATCTATAGAGGCAGATTTATAGACACGAACATGGGTTGCAGTGGCAGGGTGCATGATGCCAGGGTTTTACAGAGATCAGGACTTTACCTTCATTGACAAACAGGGACGTTATTCTCACTGAATGGTGTTATAAATGGAGTCACCATCCTCACCCTGTATTTCCATGGCTAGGGCTATAAATTTATCAGGGAGGAGGGGAACAAAGGTCATGGATGTCATGATTTTTCTGTTTATTACTTTTTTTTCCTGTGTGAGATTTTCCCAAAGGCTGGGTCACTGGCCCAGTGTAGAGGGGAGACCTGAAGGGGGGGTTGGTTGTAGCACCACCAAGGTTTGCCCTCCCCATCTCCCTTGTGACAGGAGGTTGGGAAGGTCAAACCTGAGCAGAGCTAGGTCACAACACTGAGTGGGGGGCTGGGCCCAGCCCTAAGGGACAAGCGCTATAGGAGCCACCACTGCCTGGGTTGAGTGTGGGGCAGGCTTGCTCTCCAGTCTCCACCCCAGAACCTTCCCTCCTCTTGAGATGTGGTTAGGGGTATAGTGCTGGGGCAGAGGGTGGTTGGTGCCCCCACACTGGGCAAGTAGGGCATTTTTTTTTTTAAATAAAAAATCAGGGAGAAGTCACAGTAAACAGTAATTGTAACTCTTACTAAATTTAGTGACTGATCCATGATTTTTTATTAAAAAAAAATGCTGTGACAAATTACAGCTCAAGTCATGACTTCTGAACCTGACTACAATGGGCTTGGGAAAAGGAAGTTCAACTACCCATTCAGTAGCTATAGGATGGTGGTTGAATGTGGCATTTGGCAGACTGAAATCCCATTGGCTGGGCTTTCAGAACCATTATCAATGCTACCTGTGTTGTTGTAGGCTGTGGCATTCTGGACCTCTGGGAGGACAAAGGAGAAACTGTCAACCAAGAATAGATTCAAGCAACTCCTGGATTTCCGAACTGGCACGCACAGCCAGAAAGTGCATCTGTCATAACTAGGGCTGCATGCCCATGTACAGCAGAAATGATGGATGCTTTGTGCACCTACATAACAGGTTTACTTGATCCCATGCAGCAGGAGGGAAGTGGTATTTGTAATTGAGCTGTCCAACAGGACAGGGGCTTGAAATATAAACTGGATTATAGGATTAAATATGGGAATTCTTGTTCACATGGCCATGTCAGGGATTCTTAATTTTTCCTTCAATCCCAGGAAAACTATCAAAGTTGAGGGTCTTCACAACAAACTATTAACCTAATCTTAAGAGAAGCTCGCTTTGGTTGGACCTCAGTCCTGCCCATCTTCTGTGTTTCAATCTTGTACATCACAAAAATACATGTAGGAAGGAATGGTCCACACCTAAGTCCAATTCCTAGGCTGTGTATGATACAGTTAGAGACTATATCCTCTATTGAATTGACACTAGACTAGACATTAGGTCTTCTTTTAACTTTCTACCTCTTTAAATTTTACAGTGAAGCAAGGAGAGAGAGTTTCTTCCTTACTTCACATTCTAGTTACCTTGCATCTTTTTAGAAGAGTTAAAAAGATGGTGGCAAGACTGGTTTTACTGCCTTGTATAGGTTTATCCTTTCTATCCCATTATAGATTTAGGAAACCTGAAAGCTCTCATGCAATTCCACCAACCCCTCTGCAGTAAAAACAAAAAAAACTGAAGGATGTCAATATTTTATACTCTGTTATACCAGAACAATTGCACATTTTGACCATGCCCTCTTTGGTGTTACTCACTTAATTGTTATAAGTTTTAACAGTTGACAGTGACATTTTGTTAATATACTGAGTTATTTGCTAATAACAAGTGTTCAGAGTTCTAAGTTTCAAATGTAAGATTCACAACTGGAGATATTTATTCATGTTAAATTAACATATGGATACTGGCATTTAGGATAGTGCAGTATATCCTACAATGAGCAAGGATGGCCAAGCTTTGTGATTCAGAGGGCTGTACTGGCAACTGACTTACATATTTTACATAAAATCCTTATGCACACAGTAGAGGAACAAACAGTTTACTCGTATTTACCAGAAATTTTGCTGAATAAATTCATATTACATCTTCCATTCAAAGATCTTAAAGCACTTTCCAAGCAAATCTAGCCTAACAACTCTCCTGTTAAGAAGATAAAGGTCTCTTTTACAGGAGAGGAAGCTACAGAAAGTCTGGCAGAATCAGGAACAGAACCCATCGCTCTTGACTCTTCATCTTGCATCTTAACCTCAAGACAATCATGTGGATACACCTGCAGTTTCAGCTTGCACTCACATTGCAGAAGTCATAGGGAGAAGGCAGCAGGAGAACATCTGAAAAACTTGCAGGCCTTATGTTGTGACACCTTCATCAGGAGTTTGATTTTACTAAATCTGATCCTCATCAGCAGTTTGTATAGCACACACACTTATTTATGGGTAAGATGTTTACGTGCACAGCCTTTTATATTCACAAGACTACATGAATGTCTACAATTAGTTCAACAGTTCATTACATTTATTTCTGGGCAGGATAGTTTCTCCTCAAGAGAGTACAATGATTGCATTTATTTAATGCATATGCTTATTGTGTCATCATATCAGAACCCTCCCCACCAGTGGCATCCTGGGAGATATGGAGTTCCTCTAGCATCTCAGCCAGACTGATTCGTGGAGCACCTTCATCATCTGTGTCACTTTCCACTGGAATTTTTGAATCTAAAAAAACAAAAGAAAAACCAAATAAGGAAATAATAGCTCCAAGAAATTTCATAGCTTAAAGCAATGAATACACCCTGTCACTTTCATACAGGCTGCTGCATTATAGACCAATCCTCCCTACAACTGTTCTTTCCCCCCAAATTAGACTTCCACGCCAATCCTACCTTTGTTGCAAATACAAAACATGAACACACAGTAATCAAAGGCTGTAAAATACCTGTTGACATTATGACCTCAAGCAATATGCATTTTTTTAAGTGTATGTCACTTTACCCTGAGCATTCAAATCCTTCTGAATTACCAGAAGCTAAATAAAATCTGAAGTCACAAGTGTTTTGACTTACCTTTATAAATATTGACATTCCTTCTAATCGTCTCATCTTCTTCAAGATCTTCAAGGAAGTCCTGGTACTGCCTAAAAAAGCAACAAACTCAATTGAATACATTAACTCTTCTCTTTTCCTTTAGAATTATGCAAACTCTGGAGTCTGGCAGGCTAGCAGCCCAGTGGAATCATGCCAGATAACTATTTAGGCCAATCCTAGAGGTGAAACTCTACTGCAGGTAAAACCCCAATGGGGATGGGTGGAGAGACTTACTCAGAAAACTTCTGGAGTTGACAAGTGCTCTTGTTTTTATTATACACAGAATACATTTTGTAGAAGCTGCAGCTGTGTGCTTCAAGCACAGATTAAAAATTAAACTTGAAGAGCGGCTTATATTTCTATGGGTGCTGTGGGGACCACTGAACAAATGGCAGAACCCTAGCTCCATCCCCCAAATCCCAAGTTGCCTGGATGTTTTCGAAAACAAGACAGACAACTTTAGAGTTGGGAGAGAAGGACAGGCATGACTCACTGACCACTGCCCTTCTACTTGCATGGGTTTAAGGCACTTATTTTATGTCTTGAGCATGCAGTCAGCACTTAAACTGCTCTACATCTCACTTCTTTGCTCCTCTCAAGGGCCATTAAGTGTAGGGAAGCATTGCACACCAAGAAATGATTACAGGATTTGGTCCCTCAGACATATGCTCTTTTAACATCCCCATATTTGTAATTCAGTCTTCGGGTAGTTTATAGTATGCCACTAATATTCTGTAGCTTTTACATTCCAATTTAACTCTGATCTTTTGCTTCCATTTTCCAGTCAGCTAGACATTAGAGTTAGTCAGCTGTTGCATACAATTTGTTACTGAACATACCAATGACAAACATTTCCTCTCCCTTGCAGATGTCTCTTTAGACAGCTTAATGTCTAATTGGTTGCCCACAGACATGTGGTCTGTGACCCTACTCACTAATGATTCCAGTTTTAAGTCTTCGTAGTCCATGCTTATACTGTGTAATCTTTAGTAATGGCTGTAAGATTGTGGACAAAATTCAAGAAAGTTTTACTATATTGTCTCAAATATCAATCTCCCCTGCAATTTCACAAAGCAGTCAAAAGTGGGATGAGATTTCACTCTAAGCACTCAGGGCTAAATTGTGTCTTTAAGGCACTTCCTGCAGTAGGGAGCAGTGAAGAGGTATACCTCTCCCTAGAATGCAGGGAGACCAGACCTGCTAAGCCATCTTCTGATAATGGTGAGCATGCACTCCCCCTTATGGAGTGCCAGTTGTACCTGCCTGTGTGGAAGAAGAGGAGGAGTGGTGTCTCCACTTATTCTGGATACTCTTTAGACCTGAGCATGAACTAAATCTAGTACCATTATCAGGAGAGATTGAGAAATGCTGCCCATTACTGGACCCTGCACAGATGGTTCAAGGGGAAGAGTTACTGAGCAGAAACCAAACCTTTCGTCATCTGTATCCATGCCTTCTCTGTCCCTTTCCAGCTCTTTCAGTTTCCAGTTCCTGCGACGCTGGCGTTTAGTACGGTCATAACTCTTCTTTATTAAAACCTACACAGAAGATATCATTTTAGACCAACTTTCAGAAAAACACTAACATTCTTTAATCTCTGAACCAAGGAATTGTACTGCATTGTGGATTCTGTAATATAATAATTGGTCACAAGAGGGCAGCAATGGAAAGCTGTATAGGATAAATGAGTCAGGCACCTCATTGAGCCTGAATAGTGAAGTTCTCACACTATTTACATAGAGCTGGTCATACAAAGGGCTCCCCACGTGTATGGAAGGAACAGTACACAGTGCTGGCGCAGCATAGATAGGACACAATAGTTTAGGGAAAGAAATGGATACTACAGATCCAGAAGAGCAGAAGGGATAACTGATCATCTAATTTGACCTTCTGCATAACACAGGCTACAGGACTTCCTTGAATTAATTCCTGTTTGAGCTAAGGCATGTCTTTAAGAAAGCCAATCAAAACAGGGAAAATTTAAACAGCCAGAATATAATTTGCAAAACTGGAATTTGACCAGGATGTTGGTGCTAATACCTCATTTCCCCAGATTTTTAAGCTAGGACTACAACATACATTTTATAGACCACAACGTTCTCATCTTCAATTATGCACAAGAAACAAACTTCTCTACAAGAAAGAGACTCTAGGACCTTACCACATCAGGAACATTGTGTGGGTTCATCTTATTTGCAAATTCGTCATTGAGGTTACAATTGGCCAAGTCATATCTAAAAGGAAGATATTTACAACACACTTAATAGCTTGAATACTTAACCTTTCATGTTTTATACTTCCAAGAAGAAACGAACATGGTATAATTACAATTTTATAGTTCACACAGAAGAGAGATACACAACAGGGAAGAAAATCCATGCTACTAAGTATCCTTGATAAACAAGTTAAACTCTTTACATTATAAGGTAACACACACACACTAACAGCGATCAAGTACATTACATGCTATCAAGCTGCAGAGCATACCCTTCAACCTGTTCCGTTGTCTCCATCCCCTCTTGCCTTCTGACACATTCCAGCATACTTGGTCTTTGAACATGTCCCTACCGTGGCATCTTAAAAACCCTCCCAAGCCTCTCCATGTCTAAGCAGTATGTTTGTCATATGTGCACTCTATACACTCATTGCTTTGATTCTGACTGCTAGCTGACTGACCCCATTCCACTCTGGCTTTTGTCCCTCTATGCCATTGAGACTTCTCTCATTAAGGTCACCAATGACCTCTTCCTGGCCATGACCAAGGGCCTCTTCTCCACCCTCATTTTCCTGCAACTTCTAATTTTGAAAATTAGAACAGTTCACAATTCTGTTGTGAAAGCATGAGCCGAATCCAGATCAGCTTCCCACAGTTGTGATAGCACTTCAGTGCTAACCATAGCAAAAAGTGGAAAAACTAATTAGATACAATTCTGAACACGCACAGGCAGTAGTACTGAGTCAAAAATTGCCATTTTTACAAGTTTTGGTTTAGACCAGGGGTTCTCAAGATTCATTGCATTGTGATCCCCCTTCTGACAACAAAAATTACTACACTATCCCAGGAGAGGGAACTGAAGCCTGAGCCCTGCCACCCTAGGTGGGCTGGGGGGGGAAGCCGAAGCCCAAGTCTTCAGCCCCTGGCAGGGGGCCTGTAACCTGTACTCCACTGCCCAGGGCTGAAGCTGAAGTCAGAGCAGTGCCACTCAGGGTTCGGGCTTTGGCCCTGGGCCCCAGCAAGTCTAATGCCAGCCCTGGTGACCCCATTAAAACGGGATTGCAACCCACACTGGGGTCCTGATCCACGGTTTGAGAACCGCTGGTTTAAACAGACACTTTAAAAAACAGAAGCCACCTCTTCTCCTACCAACCCAAAATCCTTTTCCAAAATGACAGAATTACAAGATCTTTCCTGTCCCCCATGTCCTGTAACTTTGGGGTCAGTGTTACAGGAAGTTGAGATTTTATTAATCTGCAAAATCTGTCTCAGTCAATCAAATATTGATTGAAAATAGCATATATCATACAAACCCCAAGACTAGGTCTCCAGGATTTAGAAGGTGCCCCAAGTGAGTGCGGCAGAAATACTGATTATCTGTATTCATCTCTGAGGTTTTCTGTACCCAGGCTTCAGCAAGAGTGTGCTTGAAAAATGGAAACAAACATTTTTGTAATGAGATGGAGAGTTTCATTTTCTGCTGCATAATTAAAAACACTTCTATTGCTATACTATGTACCATTTGATATTGCATCAGTAATACTGGCTTTCTGTATCCAGCTTATATTTCCATTTTCTTATTGTTAATGATTGTCTTTTTACTGAAGACAAACAAATGGAAACAATGGGAAATTTGCACAGATTCCATTTAGATTTCCTCCTATAAATATGATCACAAAGATTGTTTTTATTTCATTATGTACCATATAGAGTTGTTGGATCAATATTATTTGGTAAGGAAATATAAAAAATGTAGAGCAGCAAACCAAAGGCTAGGCATTGTTACATAGAAGTCTCTGTGTAGGACAAAAAAGTGCCAAGCCACAGTCTTTTGTGGAGGAAGGAAGGACGGACAACAAGGAGGAACAACTGCTACAAGATCTGTAATAAAACACTATTAAGAGAGGTGAATTGACTTCTGAACACCAGTCTCTAGTACTAATTTGACCTAAGCATTCATGTGGAATATTTGTCAAGATATTTATCAAATATGGTTCATTTAGTTATAATGAATCTTAGCTGGTATCCACAATCCTCTTAAGTGTTGGGCTGCATAAAATGCTTCATTATGAAATTGTGACCTAAAATATTAACCTAAGAGTAAGCAGCTTATAACAATCAAATTTTAACTTAATGTTGAAGCAAAATAATTTCTGAAAAGGGAATTCATATGATGTGTATGCAATTCCCAGTGAATGAGAACAATGTATTGCACCTTTCTTAGGGGAAAGCTTCACCAGCTAACAATAGTCAGAACATTTTGGGCTATATTTGGAAAAACGTGCAGTATGCTTTGTAACATCAAGTGAGCCAAAACAGAATCCCAGACAAGGAACCCGGTTTCCAAAGTGTTAAATAAGGCAAATAAACTCTTACTTTGTTTGATCTCATCCCTGCACCTGCACCTTGTTTTCTCTCTTGGACCCTGGTGATATCTATTACAATAAACTCCTCCAACTGCTTTGGATGGAACAAGCTATTGAAAGGGTGACGCCAGTAAGTGCTTCCATCAAGGTCAGCAACTGAAAGGGCAAATACAGACCTTTGTGGGCACAAGAAAATTGCTTTCGGACTCAATATGCATTATTAAGCCAAAAATCAAGGCAACTTTCAAATGATCAGTGATATTACACTTCAACAGAGTAGAAGCATTGAGGCCAGGTGTACACTATAAACTACTGCTGATGTAGCATTGTCTAAATCAGGGTGTGATCTGACTGACAAGAGTCCCTAGTGTAGATGCAGTTATATAGTACCAGCAAAACTGTACTTTTGCCAGTATAGCTTATTTTGTTAGGAGGGGAAGGGAAGACTGGAATAAGCTACACCCACTCTAGGAGTGCTTCGCTGGTAAAACATACTGGTACTGCTATTCCCATGAAGCACTCCTAGTGCAGACCTGCCCTGAGTCACATGTCAGTTTGCATTCTGTATCTCCATCTTAATTCTAAAGGAATATGCCTGTGATAGACCAAGGCCTGGTCTACATTTAAAAAGTCGCTTCTAACCAACACACCTGGGCTGGCAAAACCCCTAACGTAGACAGTTTAATTCTGGTATAAACGACACCGGCAATACAAGAACCCAACTATCAGAGCTGGCTGGTAGAGCTGTAACAATAAACCCTTTCTCAAGCAGACACGGCTTACATGGCACAGCAAAGTGACAAAAGGAAAATATCATCCAGATAGCCTCTGCAATTCTTTCATTTGTGGTACATTTTGTACACAATAGTAGAGAATTCAGGGGCAAAGATTAATTTTAGTTTGCCATTAATTTGTTCGGCAGTGAGAAAACTGATTTAATCTTTCATAATTAAGGTCTGAAACACAAGATGTGCATCAGGAAAACATTCAGTAAGAACAATGCCAACAGAAGAATGCTGTTCTCACATTAGCCATGCCATCAGGGGCTCGTTCACCTGCACATCTACCAATGTGATATATGCCATCATGTGCCAGCAATGCTCCTCTGTCATATACATTGGCCAAACCGGACAGTCTCTATGCAAAAGAATAAATGGACACAAATCTGACATCAGGAATCATAACATTTAAAAACCGGTAGGAAGAGAACACTTCAACCTCTCTGGCCAGTCAGTAAATGACTTAAGGGTGGCAATTTTACAAGAGAAAAGCTTCAAAAACAGACTCCAACGAGAAACTGCTGAGCTTGACTTAATATGCAAGCTAGATACCATTAACTTGGGTTTGAAGAGAGACTCGGAGTAGCTGGGTCATTACACATATTGAATCTATTTCCCTGTGTTAAGTATCCTCACACCTTCTTGTGAACTGTCTAAATGGGCCATCTTGATCATCACTACAAAAGTTTCTCTCCTGCTGATAATAGCTCATCTTAATTAGCCTCGTACAGTTGGATGGGAACTTCATGTGTCTCTCTTCTTACTATATGTTCCATTCTATGCATCCGATGAAGTGGGCCGTAGCCCACGAAAGCTTATGCTCTAATAAATTTGTTAGTCTCTAAGGTGCCACAAGTACTCCTGTTCTTTTTGCAGATACAGACTAACACAGCTGCTACTCTGAAACAGAAGAATTACTAGACAACAGGATTAACGCTCAAGGGGAAAAAAGAACAGCTCCCCTCCCCCAACTTACTCTGCAGAGTGTTGGGATCAATGAGGTGGACAGCACTTGTTACTCTGATGCACACACAGATCTGGCTCATATTCCCAAGGCTCTGTGCCAGTTTTGGAGACAGACATACAACATTGTCCTGTGCAGCAAGAAACAAAATTTCACACATTTGTTTTCTTGTTTTTAGTTATATTCAGATTTTTAGTGAAGTACTAAAACTTTTTTAAACAAGTCCTTAAATTGAGTTTGAGAACAACCACTATTACCATTCAACATAAATGCTATGAACAAACAACTGGGGGTGGGGAGTAGATGAGGGGAAATCTAATTCTACAATACTGCGTGGCTGAGAAGTGAGTTTCTAACCTTCTCATGGCAAATCTTTGACAATTGGTAAGAAAGTAGCTTTTTAGTTACAGCACAAAGCCATTTCCCCCTCAACCTTCAGTTGAACAAAGGAGGAAGACACTGTCCACCTGCATGGTTCTCCCACTTAGCAGAAAGTTTTGGATATTTCTGTAAACTTGAGGAAAGTTAAGGTTGTACCATATTAAGGTTTCTTCAGGGATCACTCTTTACTTTTTCGGGGATTAACATTAATTGTTTTCTCAGGGTATAAAGTACTGATAAGAAGTCAGTAGTGTGGGTCTCTGTCTCGTAAATTAGCAAAAATGCTCAAAGGTGGAAAAGATGTTTTACACTAACTATAGTACATATTCAGCAGGGCTCAATTTGTGAGCAGCAGTACTTTTCTTAACTACCCAAATGACTAGGCTATAAATACTGGATACATTTTTAGGCAAATTGTCTAAAATACAGACCTCAATTATCTACAGATAACCACCCTCATTAATATAAATATTGTAGTAATACCCAAAGGGGCTAATCAAAATCTCATTAAAGCCCCACTGTGCTAGACTCACTATAAACACACACCAAGACTATCCCTGCTCGGAAGAGCTTTTCACACTTGGTGCAGTTATTTTTTTTAAACTTGCCCAGAAGTTTATGTTTTGCCTATATTTTGCTTCTCCAGCTACTGGACTGAGAAACCCACATGACACCCTGACAACCACTACCACTGCTAATGGTCATCTTCATTTGGGTCCAGCAAACTTTCAACATGTAAATCAAAGAAGAGGTGCAAATGAATATATAATGCATGGAAACACAAGTGTATGTTTTCAGTGCATTGGAATACGTATTTACCTTAATATTTAAAAAGGTGTTATTACATAAGTGCTACTATACCAGAATCCTCTCTAAAGCCAGCAAAAAAGCATTTTTACGTGTTAAGCAATACAGAACAGAGGTGCAGTTTGAAGGTTATAGGTAAATCTACTTTTCAGTGAAATGAGCCAAAAACCCAGTTTGCAAGATCTTTGAAAGCGAACAGGGAAATTCTCAAGCCATTATCTCTCTCAAAACACTTCACACGATTGTACACCAAACTTTTCAGTCAAATTCTACCATGGGATGAAATTTAGCATGCAAATTTTGAGGTGGATTGGTTTTGCTTTTGACGTAATTATACAGGTATGTTGCACATTGGGCTTGTAAGTGCTGGTTTCAGCCAGAAGTTTGGAGAAACAAGCACTCTACCCCCTTTCTGAGCATGCTTTTTAAAATACTTTCCAAACTAATGGACTGCTTGATGACAGCTTTTTTCACTAAGAACGCATTTACCTTAAAAGATCTTGTTTAAAAAAAAAAATCCTGACTCATCATGATCAAAAATGTAAATTACAGCCACTGCAAATTGATAATATATTTTATTCCTTTAAAAAAAATAAAAAAGAAAGCTACCTTACATACTGGAACAATCTCCACCGAGAAAGTGCTTTTGTAATTGTAGGCATTGCTATGAATATCATGCGAAATCAAACGCTGGGATGATTTTGATCTAAAAAGCATAAAACAAAACTTTAAAGGAGCAAAATGAGGCATAAGAAATATACAGAAGGTAATTCGTTCTCTCAGCACAAAATAGCGTAGCAGAAATACTTGCAAATATATGGCTTCATATCACAAGAAAACTAGGAATAACATGGAAAACAGGACAATGGACAAAAGGGTTAGTTCCATGATGTCTAAGCTGATGGAGAAAATTGGAGACTTCGGGGCTGGTAGCTTCACTTTGTTGTAATTACAAAAGACTCATTGCATCCAAGAACTGCTGATTCTGCACTTTACATACAATTTTCAAAATAAAGGATCAGCAAAGTAATTTTCCAACAGCTCTTGAATATCTGAGTTAGAATGTGATAAACTATGGCAAAATACCTGGAAGGAACTGTACACTGAAGAAAGTCTACCATCTTCTGGGCATGTTGCTTTGAACCATAATAGAAATCCAGGCCATCTTAAAGAAAATACAGCTACATGAAGATACTATATTGTACTTTAAATGGGTATTTTTCACCATAAAAAGGCTATATCTAAGTCATACCTCTCAGCAACCAATGTGCACAAAAACGGAATACTAGTACTTATTTTTCGGACCCAGAGACTTCCAATTTCGATTACTTCAGTCATTTTACATAAAGATTATTGGCAAGCCACTTCACTTACCATGAATCTCTTTGATCCGAAGCGTATTTTGATGAAGCCTGTGTTTTAAAATCAATTGTTCCAAATAGTAGAAAGTTTTTTTGTGCAGAGTCTAAAGTTAAAAAGTCAAATCTAGATTAGATTATGAAAATGTAACAACCTTCAAGTTATCTGCAAATGCATCAACAGGGTAACCATGAACATGGAACGATCAACTGAAGCAGAAATAAAATAAATAGTTCTTATATAGTGCTTTTTATCAGTAGCTCTCCAAGCACTTTACAAAGGAGGTCAGTATCATTATCCCAAAATTACAAATGGGGAAACTGAATAATCTTAGACACTGAATGAAGTCTTTATTACAAGAGAACTACTGAAAATTTACCATACATGTACATAAATGCGCAAGCAACTGCTCTATTTATGCCTTTCTGTGTTGCTTTTAAACCTCTATTTCTTATTTACTCTTATTTCTGTAATATTGATTTTCTCAATACACTGGATCCTAAAGAATTATAAATAACCCATCCTTCTGATTCTAATGGGATTAATTTAACTGATATTATAAAACCGAAATGATTTAAAAAAAACAAATTCAACTAGCCCCATGAGCTACATGGCACTAAAATTGTAATATGCACCCATTCACTTCCTTTTCTCAAGCGATGTACTTGAATACTAGTTAAAGAAATGCAAATATGGACATTTTAAAAAACCAAGCTATTCAAATGTTCAGTTTATATATCTGATCACCTTATCAAACACTGCACAGCTTAAAGATTATTGCCTAGGAAGTGTGTTTTCCCATCACTTTAGAAGCAAAACAGTTTCAGGAGGATGCAAACTGCCAGCAGGCAGTCTGCTAAGAACAAGATTATTTAGACTAGTCAAGTCTTAGGCAGACCTGAAAGGAATCACAAAAGGACTGTACAAAACTAAGGCTATGTCTATCACACTGCAGCTGGAAGCGTGCCTGCCAGTTAGGGTAGATATAGACGCTAATATGTGGACATTGTGGCACTGGCTAGTTGGCGGAGTACAAGCCCACTCTCCTCACCAGGTCCATACTTGTGTGGCTGGACTGGACTGATGATGAAATATCTATCTACGCAGCTCTTAATTAGCATGCTAGCTTGAGTGGATTTAGCATGTCTGTATACCTGGTTGGAAGGCCCAGTTCCAGCTGCAGTGTAGACATACCCATTAGTGTCTGAGCAATAGAATGACTGAAGTTGGCTGTTGGTCAAAGCAAAATATTGGGGTAAAATAAAACACTTCCCGCTGCTTTTTCCTAGCAAAAAGTGAAATAGTAACAAATGCAGTAAAAAAGTCTCAGAAATTTTTCGAGTATATTAAGTGTCCTAAACATTAATTTCAAGTGGGAAAAATCGAAAAACATTCTTAAAAAACGATATCAGGTCTTATTTTAATAAAGCACATTTTATAGTCTTACATTACAAGGTTTTAGAATTTTTACATTTTTACATAAGGCAAAGGTGCATCCTCTAGAGAATCTCTGCATATTGGTAGGACTTAGCAAGACAGCATCAGTTATATTTTCATGTTTAGAAGGTTACCTTTGCAACCAAAATGGCTAGAAATCATATTTAATTAAAAGCTAGTGGCTCTCCAGATGAGCAGTGAGTTGCAGTGAAGTTTAAGAAAAGCAAAAATTGAAGAATTCATGACAACCTGTGACAGCATTACAAATAACCTACCTTAACAATGACATATGAAATGCCCCACAGACAGGTGTAAAATAAAACATATCAGAAAGTGCAACTTAGATGCTCAGACACTCACTTTATCTGAATTAGTTTTAGACTTGGGATACAGCGTGAAGGGCCATTAATGTTCATGCCTCAGAGAGCAGACTGGCTGGGGCGAGAGAAAGATTTCCACCTTATGTTTGCAGACTGCATTCCTGTATTGGCCAGATGCATTTGAGAAGCTTATGCTTCTAAAGAAGGCATTCAGTATTGGTCACCTGACCGGTTACTGAACTAGACGGATACTGAAGAACATTACTATTGTTTTTACCTTTTGTCTGACCTGAACCACTGCTTTCCAGAAATCCTTAGCTTCAACTCTATGACAGTCATCACACATTTGAGGCTGAACTACATACTCCACCACAAACACTTGTTGAAGGATTGCTCCATTCATCACCTGCAGAATCAAATTTAAGAATGATTACAAATTTTCTTTCTTCTGGTTGAAGATGGCGCCATTTTATAGTTTACATCACTGATGCAAATATTCAACCAAAAATTAGTATATTATAGTTCAAAGTAACTGGTATAGTAAGATTACTTGACAGCCATTGTTATGCTATGCATGGAGGTTGGCAGTACTATTCATGAAATATAAATGTTATGCTTTTATGAAGGCCTCAATTTTCCAAATAATTACTCAGAAAAATGGAGAAAATCATATTTTAAAAAACAAGATAAAAAAGTTGCCTGCTTGTCTTCAGAAATTATTATAAACCTGTCTCTTTAGGCGGTTGAATCTTTCATTAACTTCTCTGCCTGCATAGGGTTACCTTTCCTCCCTGCAGCTGAGAAAGCAAAATGCCTTCCTCAGGTCACTGTCAATACTGCTCCATTTGTGGGCTTTAGGCACAGCGAAATCAGCATCTTCCTCCAAGACAAGCAAATAACCTCTGGAACATTCTTGGCCTCCACCAGCCAACAGAGAATTGCCTTTCTGTATGCTACTGTATTTGTCGCCTAAAATAGTGCTTAGAAAAAAAAACCTATAAGAGGTGCAATGGATCTCAATTACCTCTTTTTGTACTGTCAGCTTTATCTTAAGTCTCCTGGAATGTGGTTCAGTCCAAACAAAGCTTGCTTCGATCAGCCGCACCTGTCAGTAGAAACAGAGAGGATTATTCATTATCCTCTAGTTGATAACCTGTCAGACTCTCTAACATACATGTTTAAAGCATGAAAAGTTAACCATTAAGAACACAAGCTTCAGGTAATGAGTTACAAAGTACACTATCAACAATTGAGGACTGGAAGACATTTAAGAAACATGTTTAGCAGTACAACAAACCCAATCAATATTATTCATGCTACACCTCCACATAATTAGATTGAAAAAATTTCTTCAACCTAAAACCACCAACATAGAACTACTACTACAGCCATTTGTGCTTTTGCTGCAAGTTGTCAAGTAACAAACTGCCAGTTACTTAAACAATGTAAAAAAGGCTTACTGAAATGGTTACAGTGCGCTACTGTAAATTTAACCGAAATAAATAAGATAGTGGTCTATTTCTGAGTCCAAACTGCAATGTGGTGGCACAAGACCAACCAATATCTGGTAACACTAACATGATTGTCAAATGCATAATATATGTTTCGTTTAATAGCGGAAATTCATTTTGATAACTGAATGCTTTCTTTAGGGATGTGTTTTGTTTGTATTAGCCAGATCTAGCTCCAAACTCTGGGTGAAATCCTGGCCTTGCTAAAGTCAATGGGAGTTTTACTATTGATTTCAATGATGTCAGGATTTCAGCCTCCACCTTTAACATAAATCAACTGTGACTGACTACCCAGAAAGTTCTAAAGTTAATCAGATCTTATTTTATACAGCGCAAATGCAATTCAGTGACTAACCTTACTAAGCGAAGCTTTGATTTTTTTAAGACACAAAGTTAGAAGTTCTCTCGATTCTAAGGCACACTGAACCCAAGTTCCTGGAGGCTGAAGATATCTGAGATAAAGGAAAACTTTCAATGATTTAAATTATTCAGAGATCACTGTTTATTTCAAACATTATTAGGTTTAGAAAAAGAAAATGTTTACCATAAACCCCAAACTGGGGCTTCCCTAATAAAACATTAAGATCCACGTTCTTCAGAGGTACAGTACTTGAACTTTTCCCCAACTCTGACCCACCCACTTTTTCCTTCAGAAACTACTTAATCAGTCTACTTTTTTCCTACATGTGCCTCCACATCCCAGAATTAATACTGCTTCAGCAAAAGAAAAGCCTTAAAATAATAATTAAAAACAAAAAAACAGATAAGGTCAAAACAGACATTTGCATTCTATGAATATAAACTTGGTCATTTCCAACCATTGCTTATGATATTAATGAAAAATATCACAAATTTAACATTTTAGTGACATATTAGCCTAAAACCTACGGTGTAATCACACCATACCTCTCACACTGTTTGCAGAAGTGAACCGTGACTTGTTTGGGGATTCCTTCTGTGATATCCACCTGAGTTCGTAAACATGCCACGCACATGTTCGCAGGGTTTGGTGGGATTGGGATGCCACACTGGCAGCACAGGCTTGAGTAAATGAAGCAGAATTAACAAATGAAAAATAAACACCATACTTGGGGGGACTCAGAGGAACAAAGGCAGAGAAAAATGTTGTGATAAAAGGAAAAAGGACTGCTGCCAGCCAGGACACACACCAATACATCCTGTCACTGTGCACTTTGTCTGGAAGCTTGTATGGGTTTGGCCTGAAATGAAGACCCAGATCCCCCCAGGGTGTCAGTGACCAATGGCCAACCCAGCTCAAGCCACCTGTGGAAAGCGACGCCTGTACTGGCTGCGCTGGGGAAGGATTCCCGACTCGTGGTGCTTCTCCACGGACTCCCCTCGCAGGGAATTTCAGAGACGTCCGAAGCTTCCATTTCCTGCCCTCCCCGCTACGGGTTCCGGGGACCCGGCCGGGGCCTCACAAGAGACCGGGCACTTCGCTCCAGTCCTACCCAACCCGACCCCATAACACCCTCGCGGGCCCCACCCCGTCCGGCGGGCAGCGCCAGGCCCGTGTCACTTACATGTTGCCCTGGCTGGGGGCCACCGGCGCCTTCATGTACTCCATGTCCGGCCACACGGCTCCTGGGAGGGCGGAGAGCCGGGTTAGCGCGGGCTCGGGGCACCCTGGTGGCAGGGCGGCGAGGTACCCGCAGGGGTCCCCCTCCCGGGCCTGCACACGGGTCTCTCTCCGCGCACACAGGCGGAGGGCGCGAGGCTATGGTAGGCCCGCGGCCCCTGGGCGGCGTGTGCGGGCCGACAAGGGCCGAGTGCCCGGGCAACCCACAAGCAGACACGTGTCGTGTCAGGCCGGGCCGGGCCAGTCCCGCTACGCCGCCGCCCACCCCTTCCCGCCGAGTCGGTGGCAGGGCCGGTCCCGCGCCCCTCTCCCACCCTGCGGCGCGAGGGACCCTTTCCTCACCAGCACCCACTACCCCGTGGGCGCTCTGCACTCGGCCCTTCCCAGCTCAGCCTCGACTTCCGGGTTCCTTCCGGCAGAGCACCGGCCAGAGCCGAAGTCCCGCGAGAACAGGGCGTAGGCGGGGACGGTGGTTGTTTACCTCAAGCAAGGTTGAGCTGACCCGCCCTTGCGGTTTCTTAGCCAATCCGCGGCCGCCGAGTTAACGCTTAGGGGCCGCGTTCGGAGCTGCGACCCCGCGTCCCGCCCCGGCTCGGGGAGGCTGACAGCGAAACCCCGAGCTCTCCTTTGCTATGGTGTTCCTGAAGAGGTGGCTGGCATCCTCCATCCCTCTGAGTGGGCCCTGCTGATGGAAGTCCTCGCGCTCCCGGATCTTATGCAGATGAGCCACCTCCTCCTGCAGCTCTTTCCTGCTTCCCTGTGGGACTCCACCCTCTCACCTGTGGTGGTTCCCCCTGCCCGGCTTTTGTCAGTAGGGATGTTCAGGTCCTATTCCTAGCAAGTCAAGACCAGAGTCTGGACAGAAACCTCCAGGGTCAGGATGCCTGGCTTGTGGGGGGCTCCAGATGTGCAGGAGATGGTGGTGGTGGCAACATACCACTTTCCTCCTGGGGTAGGGTTCTTCCTTGTAGAGTATCTGAAAGTAAAGGAAACAAAAGCAACACCCAACTCTAACTTGCTGTCTCCCATTGCTGGCTGGCTGGCTCCCTACTGCCATTGTCTTACCAGCCCCAGGCAGCCTGTATGCTCTTTAAAGATTGGGCCCCACACACAGCTCTAGTGGGTGACTCAACCCACCCCCTCACTCATCCACTCTAATCACTACCCTATCCAATCACAAGCTGCATTGCTCTCATTTCAAAGGACCCCTTGCTAGGAAGCAGGGGCTGACACACCTAACTTGATGGCAAGTTCCCAGCACAGAAAGTGCTTCTCTCGCCCCCCCCCGCCCCAAAAGTTGATCAATAATACAATAGAAGTGCCCCAGAGATACTATCCAGCAGCTTAACTTCCTTAATCTCCCAGCTGTCTTTGTCTCACCAGCCACTTGTCTAGCAGTGCAGAAACTAGGGGCCTGGACTATTAGATACGTTAAGGCTAATATAAAAGTAAGTAGAAACAAATGTTTACAGCACACAAGTTTAATAAAATCGCAGATCAATCTCTGTTCCTCTATATATTGTGGGTCTGATCCTGAAAGTTCCTGAGCACTTCCTGCAAGTGCTGAAGGCCCTCCACTCCCATTGATTTCATCTGGGCATTGAATGGGCTCAGCACATTTTAGGATTGGGCCCTGTAGAAGTAATGGATACCTAGGTAACTTATTTCAGAGAGGTAGCCATGTTAGTCTGTATCAGCAAAAACAACAAGGAGTCCTTGTGGCACCTTAGAGACTAACAAATTTATTTGGGCATGAGCTTTCGTGAGCTTATGCCCAAATAAATTTGTTAGTCTCTAAGGTGCCACAAGGACTCCTTGTTTTTTCTAGGTAACTTAGTTTTACCGAGTACACCAGGACAAAAATGTCTCATTGTTATTCTGGTGTACAGCTTTGTTCTTGGAAGTTCCTTCTTAGGAAGTGTTGATTCCCACTGTGTAATTTCAGATGGACTGAGGCAAGAGCTAGGGAGTCTGTAAGGCCGGGGAGAAGGAAGTTTTAGTGATCTATACAGGAGGTGAGCAGGGGTTGGATGACTATAGTCTTAGATAGTCTGTAATGGCAGTCAGACAGGTCAGTGATTGCCTGTCAGAATAGCTGGAACCTATTGCACTATTTGTGGTGCACACCTGTCAACATTTTCCGGCTTCCCCCAGAGTTAATCTTGAAGGATCTTCTCCAGGTTCCCCACCAGGACTTGGCAGCTCTTCCAGCACTAATCATCTTGCTCTGAGGGTGGCTATTGGTCTTTTGGAGTCTTGCTGCAATTAACTAGCTGAGTACAAATGCTTGCCACAAAAATCTGAAGCTGAAATCACTTGAGGCCCTCTGTACCACTTAAATCCCATATTGGGGATAGAGGGAGAGGCTCCAGTAGAATGAATTCATAGAGGATGCCTTCTGTGTGTTGTAGGAGTTATTGCATAGCTTTCTAGTGTGTATGGGGGGAACACAGCAAGAGGAATATGTTGGCAGACCATCACTCCTATCACATGGATCCAGTGGCCCTAATATCCTGCGCACGTGGTGAGTAATGTACTAGGGGCATTGGTTGCAGATACTGTTCCAAACCACATGGTGGAGTACATGTTGTGGAATGGGAAGAGCTGCACTGGCTCCATGTTGTGCATTTCAATCTCCCAAGAGTTATCAACTCAGATCTTACTGTGAGTCTTGCAATATTTGGTGTTTACCTTGAAGTGCCAGCTCTGGGGGACAAGTGATTAGATGAGAATCTCAGCTTTCATTTAAAAAGAAAAGTAAACTTCTAACTCTCACGGATAAAGAGGAGTCTGAAAACGTGAGCCAAGTGAACCCTAAAGACTCAAGCCAGGTCTGTACTAGAAAAAAATTTGCAAGTATAGCAGTACCATAAATCTGTCCAGTCTAGATGCAGTTTATATTGTTGGAGTCTTTTTCCCAGCATAGCTTCTACTGGTTCCCTAAGTGTAAAAAGTTATACTGGCCAAAGAGTGCTTTTGGTTGTGTAACTGCATCTATATTAGGGCACTTGCTGGTATAGAAATGTTGAAAAAAAAAACAGTCACACCTAGAGCACATTACTGTACTGGCAAAAGTTTCTAGTTTAGACTTGGTTCGAATGCTTGGCGCTAGCAGTACTGCTAAACATATTTCACCAGCATATAGCTTCCTTTCTGCGGTTAATGTGACTTATACCCTAAATGAGGTGCTCCTAAAATATTTTGTTGCACATACTTAGTGTTGCATTTGCAAATGTAAGCAGAGTCAGGATGAGCTCTACCCTGACATCTGGTGGCGAGTCATGGTGGGTTCTGGAAAAGAACTTCAGGGGCTGATCTCATTTGCATAGGCACACCCACCTGCCTAGATGGTCACTGTGGCTGCTGTAGGAGCCCCAGTTTCTCTGTTATTGGGGCAGGAATAAACTGTTATTATACTGATTATGTGAATCAAGGACAGTGGAACTGTACTTGGCCTTTTGTTATGATGGAGGGACTCACCATCAACTAAGCAGCACTCGCTAGGGAAAGGTCATGGGTTCCAAAACCTAGTGAATGAAGAGAGGCTGGGGATAGGTATTAATACTTGGTGGTATGGGCCTCCTAGTGAGGGCCTTACATGCTAATTACACTTTCTCCTTTTTCCCCTGTAGAATACATCAGAGCTAATTTTGATTCTATTAGGAGGCTAGTTACAGGCTGCTGAGCTGAGTTCACTTTGGGCTAATGGTGTACCAGCACTAAGACTCCCCTACTACAAGCTGAAATCACAAAAGAGCTAAACTTACTAAGAACTGAAGTCACTGGGTGTTGTACTAAGTGATGGGGGAGCTTGAAGACATATTGCGGAGCAGTTTGCGGGATGGCTAGCGAAGCAGAGCGGCCGGTGGAGCGGAGCAGAGCAGTTTGCGGGACGGCTAGCGGAGCAGAGCGGCTGGTGGAGCAGAGCAGTTTGCGGGACAGTTGGCAGAGCAGAGTGGCTGGTGGGGCAGAGCAATTTGTTTGATGCCTGGAGCAGCTCATGGGGGCGGCTGGCAGAGCAGGGCCCTGTGGATAGGTGGGGCAATCAGCTTTGGACCATGTAAGGTGCCCCTTAAGCCCCCCCCCATCTCCCCCAGGTTGGGAGGTAAAACTATGCAGATAAACTTTTGAACTCTGGGGCTGCCCTGACCAGGGACAGAGACTTTTGGGTTGTTGGACTTTTGGGACTTTGGGTGGTTTTGGGTTGCTGGACTCAAGAACCAAAGGGAAAGGGCATGCCCCAATTTGCTTGGGGTGGGTTTTTTGCTCATGGGTTGTGTTATGAGTCCTGTTGGTGGTGTTTCCCCAAGATAATGCCACATTGTTTCTCTCTGTTATTAAAAGGCTTTTTGCTACACTCAGGCTCTGTGCTTGCGAGAAGGGAAATATCGCCTCTTGGAGGCGCCCAGCGGGGGTGGTATATATTTGTCCCAGGTCACTGGGTGGGGGCTTGAGCCAGTTTGCATTGTGTTATGGGGATGGATCCCCTAGATATTGAACCCGGCCCTTGTTGCTGCCAACTCCGATGGGCAGAAGGGTTACACAAATATTAATACTGGTATTTCCCCCACAGTTTAGTAAAGCATGTACAGCTCTTCTCATGAACACTTACATGGAAAATCTGAATTTCTGACATCAGACTCTTTTAGCTATTTCTATGAAAAGCAAGTGGTGTTTAATAAACACAAAAACAAGAATGGGGAATAATTATGTTCACTCAAGAGGAGCTGAAAGGATTTTGCTAAAATTTTCCAGACATTCTCCCAGCAGAGACCAAGTGCAGAAAAAATTCAGCTCAAATGATGCAAGATTTAGAAAGTTCAGATGACATGAAAGCTGTTTTGCAATCTTTAATATGACTTCTATAATTATAATTACATCTTTTGCTTTAGATGAAAGAGATGGTACAAGCTGATTAGAAATTGGGTTACAGTCTTCTCACAATAGTGCAACAATCCGCCATTCCTTTTGGAAGACAAGCCCAGTACTGAATTGTCACAATGTGAAAGATATTTTTGCAGATCAGTGTCCAGTTTCCATATTGTTGCAAAAGCAGAAGAGGGTAGTGGAATGATGCTGTTATATCAACTCATTGCATGTCATATATTTGTAAGCAGTGTCATAATGAGCTCCACCCTGACATCTGGTGGTGAGGTGTGGCAAGTTGTGGAAAAGAACTTCAGGGGCTGATCTCATTTGCATAGGCACACCCACCCTGCCAAGAATGAGGCCATAGCTGCCCAAATGGTCACTTTGGCAGCTGTGGGATCCCCAGTGTCTCTGTTATTGGGGCAGGAAGAATAAATTTTTATTACCCTGATTATGGGAACTGTGCTGGGAACTGTACTTGGTCTTTTGTTACGATGGAGGGATTCACCATCAACTAAGTAGCACTCGCTAGGCAAGGGTCATGGGTTCCAAAACTCTGTGAATTGAGAGAGGCTGGGGACAAGTATTAATACTTGATGGTATGGGCCCCTTGGTGAGGGCCTTATGTGCTAATTGCACTTCCTCCTTTCTCCACTGTGGAATATCAGAGCTAACTTTGATTCCATAAGAGTGTAGTTACAGGCTGCTGAGCTCACTTTGGGCTAATGGTGTACTAGCACTGAGGCTCCCCTACTATAAGCTGAACTCACCAAAGAGCTGAATTGACTAAGAGCTGAAATCACTGAGCATTGTGTTAAGTAGTGGGGGAGCCTGAAGAGATATTGTGGAGCAGTTTGCTGGACGGCTGGAGTGCCTTGTGGACAGGCTGGTGGAGCAGTTTGTGGGACAGCGGGAGCTGCTTGTGGGACGTGGAGCGGAGCAGTTCGTGGACTGGCTGGTGGAGCAGTTTATGGGACGGTAGGAGCCACTGGTGGGGAGCGGAGCCAAGCGAAGCAGTTCGTGGGGCGGCTGGCGGACGGAGTGAAGGCCTATGGAGCTGTGGGGTGGTCAGCTTCAGATCATGTAAGGTGCCCCTTACCTCTCTTCCGCCCCCCCCCCCCCCCCCATCTCCACCCAGGTTGGGAGGTAAAGCTCTGCAGATAAACTTTCGAACTCTGGGGCTCCCCTGACCAGGGAAAGAGACTTTTGGGTCATTGGACTTTTGGGACTTTGGGGTTGCTGGACTCAAGAACCAAAGGGAAAGAGCATGCCCCAATTTGCTTGGGGTGGGTTTTTGCTCATGGGTTGTGTTACGAATCCTGTTGGTGGTGTTTCCCCAACATAATGCCACATTGTTTCTCTCTGTTATTAAAAGGCTTTTGCTACACTCAGACTATGTGCTTGCAAGAGGGGAAGTATTGCCTCTTGGAGGCGCCCAGCGGGGGTGGTATATATTTGTCCCAGGTCACTGGGTGGGGGCTCGAGCCAGTTTGCATTGTGTTATTGGAATGAATCCCCTAGATATTGAACCCGGCCCTTGTTGCTGCCAACTCTGACGGGCAGAAGAGTTACATATTTAATGTCATATAATATCTTAATGGAAAATTAAGTGTTTCTGCAGGTTTGGAATTGTGATAATTATAGGCTATAGTGGCTCTTTTCTTTGGCCTTTGTTATAGTGTGCCTGTTTTTCACTTTTCCTCATTTGAAATTAAATTCCTTTTCAAACCTTACCTGACATTGACTAAACGGCCCTTTCTTTTTTTTTTTAAAAAAAAATCCCCTGTACTTCAGCTGTTTCTGAACACCTGCCCTAAAGGGAGTGTTGTACATGTCTCACTTGCATCCCTCTATGCAACAGTGAATGATGGATTGCTTTGATGCATGAAATGACATGTCTTGTAAACGACAGCCTTTCATGTGTCTAGTTTCATATTGCAAGAGAGATGAGAAACAGCCTGTCATTTATGTGAGCCAAATCTGTTGTGAAGCTACTGCGGGAAGGTTTATTTTCAACTTTGAACTTTGCTTCACTGCTAAAATACTGAACCCCGTCTAAACTGAACACATGAACACTACCTGTTGTCACTTAAAATCTGAACTGTTATCTGTAGTCATTAGGTAAGTCTGTAGTACTGTAACCCATACACCACCTGGGTGTAGTGTTCTGTCCCATCTAGTGGCATCTAGAGCCATGTGGCTTTTAGCTCAGGCAGTAGAGGCTAATGCACTAAGCTGCAGAAGTCCCAGGTTCAATCCCGCCTGCTGACAGCAGGCGTTACAGTACTTCTAAATGGCTCCCTTTCCCAGTTCTTGCTCCATAGTGCTACCAGCCATTCAACTTATTGAACCAAAATGTTAGTAATATATAGCACTGTTAATGTTCAAAGAACTTGTACACATGGTAACATACTGTATACAGGATAAGAAACCAATCATGAAATACCTGTCTCAAAGAACTTGAAATGCAAGGTCTCAATTCTTCATTCTGTTTTGTAGGGTTAGAGGGGTTCTCAAGACAAGTTATTCGGTGGCCTCAGACTGCAGTCATCTACTCTTGCTTGTGGCTGCTCTCACATTTTCCCTAAAATACTTAATTAGCTTTAGGAAAAACAAATAAATATACACGTCCAAATCGTAATTTATTTATTACTAGCTAGTACGTCTGTTGTGAAAAGTGATATTAACAAACATACACGTCTCACTTTTCACAACAGACTTACTCAGCCCCAGCAAGCCTGGGGACAAATTAAGACCTGGTTGGACATAAGAACGGCCATACTGGGTTAGACCACTATGGGGGAGGCACCAGGGGCAGTGCCTAGGGTAGGCACTAGGAGGATTGGAGCCTGAGGCTGGAGCCTGAAACCCCAGGGCCAGAGCTTGCCCCCTCTCCACCCCAGGACTGAAGCCCAAAGCCTGAGCCCCACTCCCCCTGGGAAGGTGGGGACCACACCAGCTGCCTGCTCCTCCAGTGTTTTGCCCCAGGTATCTCCAGAGAGAGGCAGGGCCCAACCACTGCTGGCAGCCCCATTCCATTGCACACCCCCCGCCCCACCCCGCAATCACAACCCAGAAGGCTGTGGCTGCAAGAAAAGCCCCTGGTGGCAGCATTTGAGAAATACTGCCATAAGGAATCCCACTGAAGTCAGAGGAGCTCTCCATGGAGGTCAAAGTCTTATCACATTGATCACATTGCAGGATCAGGGACTAATGGTGCAATGGATTTAGTATATATAATGGAGAAGAATGGTGTGTGAATGTTATTGCTGATAGTATGCATGGTCCAGGCTTCTTCTGAACATGTTTCTGCACCAAAAAATTCTGCAAATGTTATTTGTCAAAATAACACTACAGAATCATGCCAGTTTCAATTATTTTGGTAATTTATTTCAAAATACCTGACAGCTGGGGGGCCAGACACCCACAACCCCTCCCCATGCCAGAGCCCAGCTGCAGGGGGTCCCCCGGCCCAGAAACTCTCAACCCCTCCACCACAGTGCCCAGCTGTGGGGCCCCCCTTTGTAGGATTGCCAAGGCTCCTGGGTTGGCTGGGAGTCTCCCAGAATTGGCATCAATCTCCTGGTGGCTACTGAAACCAATCTGGGAGATTTTAGGCCACTGAAAGTCCGGTGGCGCAGCGGAAGTAAGGCAGGTAGTCTCCCTGCCTGCCCTGGCTCTATGTGGCTCCTGGAAGCAACTGGCACGTTCTGGCTCCTAGGATCAGGGGCAGCCAAGGGGTCTCTGTGTGTTGCCCCCACCCAGAGCACTGACTCCCCAGCTCCCATTGGCCAAGAACCGTAGCCAATAGGAGCTGCAGGGGCCTGCAGGCAGGGGCAGCCTTCAGAGCCGCCGGGCTGCCCCTGAGCCTAGGAGCCTGACATGCCAGTTGCTTCCGGGAGCTGCCCAAGGTAAGCACTGCCCGGACAGAGCCCACACCCCAACCCCCTGCCCAAGTCCTCAGCCGCTCCTGCTCATCCCTCATCCCTGGCCCCTCATCCCTGGCCCCACCCCCAGCCAGAACCCTCGTGCATCCCAGCCCTGAGTCCCCTTCTGCATCCAAACTTCCTCTCAGAGCCTTCATCCCCTCCCGCACCCCAGCCTGGTGAAAGTGAGTGAGGGTGGGGGAGAGTGAGTGATGGAGTGAGTGGGGGTGGGTCAAGGGTGTTGGGCTTGTGCAATTAGACTGTTGGCAACCCTAGCCCTTTGCCCAGATACCCGCACCTGCTTCCCCCAGGTCCAAGCTATGGCCCCCCCTTGCCCAGATACCCACTGCCTCCCTCCACCAGAGCCCAGGGATCTAGAGGGAGGAACAGCCTATAATGCTCCATCCCAAGCTTGCACAGTTTCCTGCAGACTGCCCCCTCCTTCCCTCAAGGCATGCTGGGACGTGCAGCTGCCAGGAATCATCTAGCTCCCTCCTCCTTCCTGCCAGCAGTGTCTTCTATGGACAAGTGGGGCTCTGCCAGGTCCAGGAGCCCCTAGTGGGGGTAAGGAAATTAACGTGCATGCAGAATTTCTGAAAAATTCTGCATTGTGCAGTGGTGCTGAATTTCCCCAGGAGTAACATGTGATCAGTGAGCAGCTGCAGTAGTGTAGTTTGTGATGGTGCCACTGTACTGATAGACTAGGATTTATTTTTTTTAAGACATTTCAAATCACTTCAGGTAATTTTTAGTATTCAAGGTGCTAGCCCAAAGAAGTTATTGTTGCAGAAACTTTAAAACTTATTACATTCAGCTGCTTGTGTGGGCAAAGTACACAGGATTGGGCCTCATTGTGTAATTCTACAAGATATCTTGGTAGGAAGCTGAGTATTTTGGTTCATATTTAACATCTTTATTTTCTGTTTTGTGACCTACTAGAAATCAAAAGACTAATCTGTTTGGGGGAGAAAAAAAATGGAGCTCAGAGCTAAGTTATTCTAGGGAAAGACCCAGTGTCCTTGCTGCCTGAAGAGAACATTGTGGGGGAGCACGAAGAGTTATCATTGGTCAGCACTTGGTTACTGGTGATAGGCAAGGACAGCAAGTGTGGTTTTTATTCACAAGAGGTGCCATTAGGAGCCCTGAAGGCTCAGAGGGCACAGAATAGCAAAATGATGGGACGATAACAGGTATTGTGCCATCTCATCTTTTTATTTGTCCAGTGTGCTATTGTTCTTGTGTTAAGGATCAGAGGGTGAAATTCCTATGCAGAGGGCCAGCAGGAAGCCTATGCATCCCTGAAGTCCTATTTTAAGAGCAGTTCACATGTGCTCAGTGATGACTTATTAGAGTTTGGCAGATAAATTTGCCATAGATTCTGTCCTCACTGAGCAGGTCCATTTCCTCACAGCTCTTAGAGCTGATGGGACTGTGAATGCATTATTCCCTACGGAGCAACAGAGCATGTGCCATTCCTGGGTCTGCAGAAGCTGGGAAGGACTTCCCCTGCAATTGGGGAGATACTGTGACACTGGGCAACGGAACTGAGAGCAAGGAGCCTGTCTCTTCTGTCCTCTCAATGACACCCTCCAATTCTCCACTGATGCCAGACAGTGTGGAGAAGAAAACAGTCTGAGTTGAATGGAGAGAGTGAGAAATGGTGGGGTGAGGGGTATTAGGAGAGGAGACTGGGGGGACTTGGGGACAGGTGAGGAGACGGGAATAAGAGTTGTGGGAGGGACAAGAGCAGGAGGCAGATATGGAAGTTAAGAAAATTGAGTGCCATTCAACTTATTGAACCAAAATGTTAGTAATATATAGCACTGTTAATGTTCAAAGAACTTGTACACATGGTAACATACTGTATACAGGATAAGAAACCAATCATGAAATACCTGTCTCAAAGAACTTGAAATGCAAGGTCTCAATTCTTCATTCTGTTTTGTAGGGTTAGAGGGGTTCTCAAGACAAGTTATTCGGTGGCCTCAGACTGCAGTGAAGCTGGGCAAGTCATGTCAACTGAAATTTTTACAGGTGACCATTATGTGTTTCTCATTTTCTTTGTGCCCAACCTGAAACACCCAGGGTCAGATCTGCAACAGTGCTGAGCACTCTAACTGCAGTTGAAGTCAATGGGAACTTTCTCTAAACATATAAATACTAGAAAAATCTGGAAAATCAGGCCCGAGGCTTCTCAGGGTTGCACAGGGAACCTTAATTCTGGCACTTCCTGACTTTTGAATACTTGAGTTTGCAACCTTAGCATTGTTTTAATGTAATTTTTTTGGATGCATTAAACAAGTTGTGATGACCACAGTATTTTGCTATTTCATTATTTCATAAAGCAGCCCCGCATTCTCCCTTCGATTCATACAGAAACTCTAGAGGGTAAAAGTAGCAGAAATTTGATTTCTTCTTTATTTAAAGCCTTTGCCAATGGGGTATTTTATAATATATAAAA